AAGATTCCTGCTGACGCTGTTTCCAAGGCAATCTCCTTCGATTCCTCCGGTTCAGCACGTGTTCACTTGTAAAAAGTGACTAGTTCTGCATCCTCTGTCATAGTATTAATGATTTCCAGCATCGGACTTGGTACATTCTGATCTCTAGTCGCCTTAGTCATATGGCTGAACGCAAATCCCTTAGCGTTGAACTCGGTTTTTGGGTTGTTCGAATCGTAAATGCTTTTAGCCATGGGGCCTTTTCAATGGCCTCACCATCAGTCCTGACGAATGCAATTAATCATGAGCTCAGACTTATGCTGATATTAGTCGAGACACAGCAGAATATAGCCAAAGCATGGCATAAAACGAGCTGGTTGCCGCCTGCATAAAGTTTATTAGGGCCAAGTAAAAAAGTCAGTCTCAACTAATGGTCGCTGCAGGGCAGGCTAAAGGCGGTTCATATAAACAATCTACAATAAAAGGAGAAGCATGTGCGTCGCGACATTAGGTTAAGAGATAGCACTCCAAAAAGGTGGGACGAGTTTGGCCGGAGTGGGTTTAAGATGGCGCCGTCTTTTATTCGGTCACTGTCTGCGTTTCCCATTGCTACTCGGCTTAGCATATTTCCAAGCCCATTATCAAAATAAAGCACTACTAAGCCAAATAGCTTATTGTACTATTTCCATAGTCTCATCACGGCTTAGGTACATGTGGCCCGATGACTGCAGCCTCCATTTTAAGGAGAAGGCTTTGAATTCACTTACTAAATTTCACATTTTTGCTTCCTTTAACGGCTATAGGGAAACTGGGAGAAAGTTTCTTTATCCCATTTATACTTCGAGACTGCTTGGTTTTGCCATCTGGTGATGTTTTCAGCATAACTTTAGGGAGATTGCATTCATAGACTAGCTCTTAATCCGTCCATATTCTGGTGATTGAGTGGAAAACGATTTTGTTCATTTAAACCTTGCATATTTTGTAAATGATAATGTACATTGAGTCATCACCTGGGCAGTTAAGCCGTTTTATTCATTCTTCTCCTCCTGTCATTAAAAGTTACACTTTTATTCTTTCGTCCTTTAAAGTAGGCCACACTTATAACTCTCATTGTATTTCATGAAATGCTAGTTTGGGCTGTGTTTCGGCTAAAAAAATAGGTTTTGCCACATTTTAATGGTTATTTTATGCTGACATTCGCTCAGAATCGAATTCGATTGTGACTTTCGTATTTAGTAATCATAGTACAGTTTTTATAACGCATTTTGTTAGGATAAAATTATTTAGCATTTTGTTTTGAAAGAGCCTTTTTTTGTAATCGTTTTATCATTTAAGAGTTGGCAGTAGCCGACGTGAGTAGGTCTTCGAGCGGAGAAGTTGTAGTTAAAACTGGATATTAATACCATATCTCATCATCTACTTAGTTGTCCACCCCCTCCCATTATATCTGCAGATATCACCTTTAGCCAACACACTGGCATATTAGATTAATTCTCATCTTCTCGTAACTGGCATCAACCATTAGCATAGGCACTTGAGACGATTAGATTACTTTACACGCTTTTTCGCAGACGTCATTTATCCTCTACTTACTATCAGGACTTGCATATATTATTCTGCTTTCGCACTCACTAATAACTTCTATTTTTCTCTATAGATAAAATGTCAGATGCCCCCATCGGTGGTTGGTACATTACCTCGAATGACTAAACTCAATCCTATGCAGAATCTCCATCACAGGTGAGCATGGATTTATGTATTATATATTTTAAAAATCATTTATATAATCATATATTATTGCCAATTAATAATCCAGTGTTTTGCAGGCCTTTTAGGAAGCATTGTCAATGACGACCTTTGTTTTGGTACTAGGCATGCCTTCTCATTGATAGTGCTGAATACAATGCCGGCTTGATGTTGTGTAATGAAACTAGTTACTGATCTGCTGCTGGAAGTGTGGTGGTTACTTTCTTGAAATCCCCCATGTAAGCGCAACTTCACCAACCAACTATCTTGTCCATCTACGAACTTATAAACTGGCTCGTCAATTTAATTGAGAATTATTTAAAATATACAGTTCGTTATGTCCTCTGCATTTTGCTGCCTTCATTTGAAAAGCATATACTCGATTGCTTCAACGGTTGCCAGAATTGTTAACAATTTCCCCGACTACACAAAATCAGAGATAGATGCCGACTCATTTGGGCCTCTCCTCTCAGGCCACATACTGACGTTTAGATGATACAAAGCTTGTATCTCTAATGCATTTCTATATATAATCTTACAGTTTTTTATATTTCTCTCAGTTCTCTGAACTTATTCTGTCACATTTTATCGGACCTGAATTTACTTTTTTCCTCAGATGGAATGCGCCTAAAGTGATTTGAGTATGCGAAATTGGCATACACTTTTTACCTCTTAGTCTACCATTTTTACGTTAAATTGCGTTATTTCAGTCTTAAAAAGTCAATTTCAATCAGGCACTCTTTGTTGTTTAACCTTTATTATGTATTCGGGCGAATTCCATCCACTTACAGCGAGGATGATACATACAGATGGATCCTGCATACAAATCGTCACTCGCAGTCGCCGCTCCCTGAGCAAGCAGTTAAAATTTCATCTGACAAATATGATAGACTTGAAGTCCTCCATGGAGGCTCCACTATGGCTTCATCTGCTACCAATGACTCGATAAAAATATCAGATACCAATCAGCTGATTCAAGACTCCTATCATAAATGGTTGCTACCGTCCTCACTTCAAACCTCAGGCTCAGATCGACCAAAGTTATTACCAGATCAAATTGGTCTCTCATCTGCCCTCGAAAGAGTAACTGTACTTTCTTCAAGCAAAGTGGACGAGCTGAGTGACCGATCAAGTTATTCCAAGCTGTCACTTTCGAAGGATTTCCAACCGCCGGAGCCCGCCAAACGGGAACAACCTGCTTATGCAGATTGGTTGCTACCGCCGACTCTTTCTCTCGCCACTTCAGCTAGGCGTGAAGATGCTCACATTTTTAACGGTTTTCCCAGCAAGCAAACGGTGTCTAATGCTGCGCCTGAGTCAAAAGGCGATTTCGATTATTTCAAATGGCTACTGCCTCAGGACAAGTATCATTTTTCTTCAAAGACATCTCATTTGCTGGCATCGAAGCATCATGATGCCAGGCTTCCGTCCTATGTTGACTGGCTACTACCGGCTGCAATTGACCCCTCCGACGCTGCTAAACACCACCTGCCGTCTCAAAGGGAGTCCGGCCGAAAGTTGACCAATTCACCTGCTGGTTTAGACTACCAAAAATGGTTGGCTCTTGAGACGAATACTTTGTGCTCGTCGGAAGACATCACGTTACGCAATTCGTGTATAGACCAGCTTTCGAGCCCAACTTCGGTGCATGCAAATGTGCGTCCTCATTCTGACACTGCCGGCCCGTAAGTATTACCTGAAGGCTCTGTCAGGACCTGATTGCCTAGAATAGAGCCGGCTGGACAGTCAAATACTTCTAAATGACCTCTTTCCTATTTTAGCTCTACTTCCAGAGTATACCGGCCTGAAGATTATTATTCCCCGATCACTGGACAGGATCAGTTAGCCTCTTGTGCCGCATTGTTTTCTCTCTTAGCAACTGATCCGAATGCACCCTCAGAGTCGTGTCCAACTCGTAAATACCGGTTAGCAACGAGGCCACAAAATGCCTCAAATCAGTCGGATGAATACTCCGAACGGCTGGCTCCTGGACACAATGTGCCACGTAATCCAAGCCTAACTCTTCCGTCCTCGTGTCGAACTGAGCCGCAATTTTCCCCACCGCCTACCGGCTGCGACGTGAAACGCACAGCTCAGCGCTTTTGGCCGACTGATTTCCGGTACCAAAAGCCCACTTGCCACGACATCGGTGTATCAACTTGCCAATTGTCGGATGAGACGGTGACGCATTGCGAGCTGGTTTTGATGGAATCTCAACCACCTCAGGTTAATCGGTTGCTTTAGCTCTAGTTTATCCACTATTCGACTGGGAAATAATTGCTTCAAATGCATCAACGAAGGTAATGCTCCGTAATTTGTGAGTCCTTTAGGGTTTTAGGATTACCCTTCAAGATGATGGGCTTGGCCCCTTGATTTATTCTTGATCGGTCAAGGTGATTGAAAGACTGATAGACAGGCCCACTTAATTAATTGTGACAAATTTCAACTATCAGTCTTCACTTCACCTCGATTGAATCAGGCTAACTCGAGTAAATATTCAAGATTTTGTGCTAATCTCGAAAAATAGTCAAATGAAATATATATATATATATATATATTGGCTCGATCATAAAGTCACAATGCGCCATAATATATTTGCCATTGTTTTGACGACAGATTTTCAATTTTGCAACCCACTCATGCTTTGCTCCATCAAGACTATGATTATGTCGATTCTCTGAATCCTTGGTATCCATGGGTTGACATCCTCGAGAATCGATAGAGCGTACTGTTGGCGATATTGACTAAGACTTGAAATAGCGAATGCGACTGTTTAGATAAAGAAATGCCATTAAAGACATTTGCGCACAAATCGACGTCCGAGATTGAAATAAGTCTGTAGCAGGTCATGCGAAATAATGTTAGAGAAGATTGCACATTAACTAGGCTTAAGGAAATGTGGATATAACGTTATAATTTTGATTCGGTATCATCTCTGCCGACAAAACGATGCTGTTTATATCATTTTTTCATAGGTTATTTCTAATTTGCCGAGAACTGGCATTTATAAAATATACCAGCTGATTAGTCTCG